TTTCCTTCTTAACAGGACAAACAGGCTGTATTGCTTTTCCGTGCAGGTATGAAAGCTTATGAATTCTTTCATTGCATTTGCTTAGGACCACAACCCTGAAGTTCCCTAGCTATAGCTGCCTGCTCGCAGTGCTCCAGGTGCGATGACTTGGCCTCTGCACTTTGACAACATCACCTTTACTGCCAGTCACTTCCATGTGGTTTACCACCTCCGTGGTTCCAGAAAAATATGTCAGTGAGCCACCTGGGTGAAAATCCAGTGAGAGAGTGGAGCCGGAAAGGTTGGAGGACGATGATTTCCTTCACTCTGATCCCTTGTCTTCCTTTGGGACCCAACTATTCTCCCCTCCTTTATAAAAGAGAAAGAGAAAGAAAACCAGTCAGTCTGGTGTTGCCAACGTATTTTTTTATTCCCCAACAACCTCATTGCTGCCTCCTAGTGAAAGTTTTAGAATTGGAAAAAAGACCATTTACTGGGGAGGATTTAAGGGGAAAAAGAAGAAACTGAATTTGCAGAGACTCACAAACTTTTTCTGAGAGTGTCTGTCTGTCTCTGATTAGGTATCTTTGTGAGCACAGGTGTATTACTGCGGCCACAAGGAAAATACAGAGCCCAGGCAGACTCTACTGATCAAGCTACGCTCTTCTGTGGGTGCTCACAATTGAGAGCTGACAAAACAAAGCCCAACAAAGTCATAATTGTCTTTCAATGTATTTTCCTCTTACTACTCATTCACACAGGCTACTCCTTTCCTATCTCTTGGTATTTTTCACCTTTAGGTTAAAAAAAAAAAAAATGCACAAGAACAACAATATAACATTCTATCAAGTCAAACATAAAACCTGTGGAAATATATTTTGGTGCATAAGAAAAAGAAGGCACTGAAATTTACTTTGTGGAAAGATCAACCAGACTCAGGCAAGAGGTGTGAGGCCGGTTAGTAACAGCAGTGCCTGTTGCCTTCCTTTCCTGTAGAGTTTATTGTGAGGGCCTTGCTTTGGTTGGCAAGGGCTTAGGCCAAGAATATTGATCCTTTAAAAACTGAAATGAAAAACCAGATCTCTTCTATTTTGAAACGTGTGCAATTTTATTTGGTGAATAGACAAACAGCACACCAACAGCCATTTTCTTTTTAGGTATGAAAAGCACCTTTGTTTTGCACAGGTTAACATTCTTGGACTTAAGAACTTTCAAATTTCATTTATTTAATATCACTGAACAGGTGATATTGCACAATTTATGAAACTACCAAGGAAGCATATGTATTTTATTTTTTATAAAATATTGCACAGGTAAGCATACATTTCAATAACATACACAAACATTTCTTTCCATGGTAATAATTTATTGCAATAATTTTTTTAACTTAAGTTTGAAAAGAGTATATTACAATTTAACTAACCAATATAAAATATCTTTTTTCAGTCCTTATATGCCAAGATAATTTTTATGATTAGACTCAACTATATTCACAATGTTTAGTAAATAGCAGTGTTACATATCTTGCATCCCCATGCATATGTTCTTTGTATGACAGTGTATCATATTTTTGTCTCAAAACTACTATACAAGTTAGTAGGTTAAAAGCTCAGAAATGATAATTTTGTAATTATCATCACAAAACAGTATATTTAATATTCTAGTCCCTGTAATTACACCTGCAAATGTTTTAATGTTGCTCCACCCAGAGTCTGTGAATGACAGTCTTTATAGAGCCTGTAAAGGAATATGGTTCTAGAGAAATCGATCCTGTTGTTGTAGCAATACAAGGGCATAACTGATACAAAGTAAACATTTGTAAATGTGACAGCTTAAGAAAAATACAGACTCCTACGCCTTTCACTGCTGATTTACATTTCTATGTCATCACGGCAACTAAAATTAAAGCAGCCATCACTATTCTTTTTATTAAAATGAGCACTAAAACAGGCCTACCTCTTAAATAAAGTTTTTATTTAAGTCCATAACTTCAATCAGTGCTTTGGGTCTCTGTGTGTCTGTGCATGAGTTTAACATATATCACACGAAGACTTAAAGGGTTAACCACTTATAGAACTTCCTACTGGCACACATCACATGGCTAGGTCAACTCCGAACTGCCAAAGAAAGAAGGCAAGCAAGTTCTTCCTGAAGGGCACGACAACTTGTGAATGAAACTTCCAGACCGATCGTGGTATAAGTATGCTGCAGGATACCGAGAAGTGAGAAAAATATGCAGACAAAAGCATGCTGTTTGATTTCTGCATCATGTCCATTATAAAGAAAAAACTGCTCTCACTAAAGAAAACTGTGTTTAACAACATAGATTTCCGTACGTCGTGGTTGATATGTTTTACTTTTTTCTTTCAGAGAAACAGTTTGTACTTCTTTTTTATTCTGAACACCTTAGCCCTCTCTCTGCATTTAAGTGAGATACTGTAAGGTAATATACCTTAAAGAGATCAGCATATAGATGGCTCTGACGACTGGCATAGGAAAGAAAACAACACACACAGAATTTTTAAAGAGCTGAACAGTCAGCCAAAGGTGCCTGCTCTCAGCCTGGGCTAGCTCCTTTTCTAAAGTGTTGCCAAGAGCCTGCTCAGTCCCTCCTCGGTTATTTTTCACATCGCCGCCTCTGACTGCGCGCAACACCGGGGCGAGAAAATGCGGGAAGCATCCGTTCCAAGTCGCATCTGAACATCCAAGGAAAGTGAGCCTTCTCTCGCTGGGGAAGTCTCCGGCATTCCCTAGGCTGCGTCCACGAGGGTTCCCGGCGCGCTGCTCCTTCCTCGGGGCAGAGGATCCCAGAGCCGCTCCCCGCGCGGCTCCCGCGGGC